CCGGTAGATTCTCTCCGTGATTTTTTTTTTTTTTTTTTTTTGTTTTTCCCTTTTTTTTTTTTTTTCCTTACTGGGTCCTTTTGGTGTTGGGATTATTCTCAGTGCCCTCATTGCCTGTCCTTTTGTAGCCGTTTCTGGATCAGGAGGCCTGGCTGCCACCTGCATCCCCTCGCTCAGCTGCTGAATGAGCTGCACTCTCAAGGTGTCCAGCATGGTAAAAAGATGAGAGTTGCTGTAGCACATAGGAGGAGAAACAGCATTCCTTTAACCCATGGTCTGCCAGGGAACCACGAAACCGTGTCCCATTCCCATTGTTTCCATGTTTGGATCAGTACATTAGCTGCTTTCTTACTTCCTTTGTTATCTGTTTCTCGACTTTTCCTTTGTCATCTACTTGCCAACAGCAGTTTGAGTCATTTAATTTTCCACAACCTCCTCCTTTTTCTGCTGAGAGATAATCTGATCCCATGCCATTGTCAAATGTTGTGTTCATCATTTCAGTGGATTGGTTGGCAGGAAGGTCAGGAGCTGGAGCTGTCTGGTTGGTTATTATTTTGATTACAGTTTGTAATCTAATGATGCCATTGAAATGATGAATGGGTTGTGTGGCTCCTGATATAAGTTTGTTCAGGCTCCCAGGGACTGGTCCATGGTGTTGTAGGATTTCTTCTGGTGGTCTTTCAGCTTTTCAGAATTCCTTTTGCCCTCTGTTAGGTGACATGGTGTCAGCAGAAGATGTTGAAGCCTTCCTGCTCAGGGCATTTCAGTGCCAGGCTCTCACAAGCACACACAGCTCTGCCGGCTGAGCTGACCATGGTGGGTAACCTGTGCTTTGTCTGATTCCACTTCCTTCCCTCCCCTGGAACAGGGTGTTGCTTTTAGACACCATTTGTCTTCATTGATTCAAAGCAGTTTGGAAAGGCTCCATATCTAACTTTCCCTCTTTGCCTGGGGCTGCCCACACTTCAGGGTTCACTTCAGCACAGGCCTTGCCAGACATATGACACAGTGGTACAACAGAACTGGCCTCTGTATCACCTTTCATAATATTAAATTCCATTCCCAAGTGAGAGATCAAATCCCTTCCCAGTAAATTATAATCACCATTAGAAGCAAATAAAAATTCATGCATTTCAACCCCATCTCCCACATCTGCTAATAGTGGTTGAATAACACCACTCCGTTTCCACTTATCCCATCAATAATCAAAGATATTTTTCGCATTTTTTCCCCCTTGGGTCGGAGATCCAGAGTGGATGGAGAGGCCCCTGTGTCCATCAGGAGAGGCCTCCTCTGGATGCAGAGCCACCCTGAGTGTTCTCAAGGGCTCCAGTGTGGTGGGTCCCTGGTGTGCTGGGAGCTGCGACCCCCCTGGCAATCCATGCCCATCAAGGGGTGCACTTGCTCCTGCTGCGGGTGCTGCTGTGTGTGCTTGCAGTGTCCTTGTGCCCTGCAGCTGGAAGGCTGATTCCTTGCCAGGGGCTGTTTGGGTGGGCTCTCCCCTGCCCAGGAGGGCAGTGCCTGTGCCAGGTGCTTGTGGCCGAGCGCGTCCCCTGGGTGCTGGGGCCCCCTTGGGCCCTGGGCTTGATCCCTCGGGGGCTGTAGGAAGTGTGCCATGGCCTTTGCCTTCAGCTTGGCCTTTTTCTGCTGCAAAGCAGACACAGGAGTCCTGGAAAAGTAATTTCATTCCAAAAAAAAGGGAGAGGCTATGGGACATTTCCCACGGTGTCTTTCCAATTTTTGGAGGACACAACCTAATCTTCATCCTATTTTTCCTGTCTGCATCTCCCTCTCCCTTTCCCCATTGCCTGAAGTACTTGGGAGCTACAAACATCCCAATCCACATACTACTTCCCCTTCTTAATATGCTCCCCACTTTTGTATAGCAAACAATATTCATGGCTCTTTGAAGTCTTTGTTGTTCTTCTCCAAGTTCATGAATTTAGCAGGACCTTGGCTGAGCAGCAGTCAGTGTCATCAATTAATAACATTTTCTGGCACTGATGGCTTCTCCTGTCACTTCCTTATATACAAGCCCCGGGCCCTATCTCCAATCAGATTCACAGCATCTGTTTGTAAAGACACTTTCCTCTTGTTCCTTTCATGGGGCTCCCTCTTTTTTGGGACATTCCCCCTGGAGCAGGGTGTCCCCCCTTGCTGCAGCACCACCCTCAGGCAGTGCTCAGCCAATCAGAGAGCACGGTGCTGATGACTCAGCAGTGTCCAGGCAGACCCGCAGCTCCCAGCGTTCCCCACCTGGACCCCCTTCGGCCCCAGCGCCCCCCGGGAGGGGAATTTGGGGAGGTGGGAGTGGGGCAGCGCCAAGGCCGGGCCCCCCTGCGCTGTCCTGGCGGGAGCGGCTGCAGTGGGGACCGAGTGCGGGCGGGAGGGGCCGAGAGCCCAGCGCTGCCCCAGCCCGACCTGCCCCAGCTCCATCCCTGCCCCTGCGGTGGGATGCTGTGGCTTTGGGGGGAAGAGGGAGCCGGCAGTGGGTGCTGGGCCTGGGGCAGGAGGAGAAGGTTAGGAGAAGTAGGGTTGAGGAACAAAGTGGTCAAATGATGCATGTGGGAGGAAAAGGTGGGATTGTGCAGGAGAAGAGGAATAGCAGGAGGAAGAGGAGTGGGAGGAAGAGCAGGGACACATGAGGAGGAGTAGGAGCAGATACAGGAAGCGCCACAACGTTTCATCAACCCCCTGTATCTCCAGCCTCACCCCCAGCCCCAGGATCATTGCCACCTGGCCAGGTGGGGAGGATCCACGATTTCCATGGGGGTAAATCTCGGCTTTCTGGGTTTATTGGGTTCTGAGCTTTATTGGGTTAAATGTTCATGTTTTGTTTTTTTGTGAAGCCTGAATATTTGTATTTTGGAGGGGGTTTGGTCTGAATCTTGATGTTTGGGGAGTTTTTGAGCTGTGTCTTGATGTTTGGAGGATTTTTGTACTGAATCTTGATGTTTTGGAGGTTCTTACAGACACGAGATTCCCAATGGCTTCCTGAGATGAACTTGGGCAAGGAGGAGCTCCCAGTCCAAGGCGCTTTCATCTTGTTTTTTTCTCCAAACCACAATTTTTCATTCTTATGCATCTCTGGATGGAGGAGGAGGAAAAGCCTTGGAGATATCGCACAAGGAGGGGCTGCAAACCCAGCCCAGGGAGCCGCGGGGAGGAAAAAGGCCCCCTGAGCCAGGAAGGCGGCCGGAGATCCAGGCAGAGCTCGGAGCTGGTGGAGAAGCCTCATGGTGGGGAGAAGCCACACAAGTGCTTGGAATGTGGGAAAGGTTTCAGCCGGCGCTTGAACCTGATCCAGCACCAGGTGATCCACACTGAGGAATGGCCCTACGAGTGTGAGGAATGTGGGAAGAGCTTCAGAAGGAGCTCATACCTGATCCAGCACCAGGTGATCCACAGTGGGAAACGGCCCTATGACTGTGGGGAATGTGGGAAGAGCTGCAGAGACAGCTCTGACCTGATCTGGCACCAGAGGATCCATACTGGGGAACGGCCCTACACATGTGGGGAATGTGGGATGGGTTTCATCCAGAGCTGCAGACTGAAGAAGCACCAGAGGATCCACACGGCGGAGAGGCCCTACCAGTGTGGGAAGTGTGGGAAGAGCTTCAGCCAGTGCAATACCCTGATTCAGCACCAGGTGATCCACACAGGGGAACGGCCCTACACCTGCCTGGAATGTGGGAGGAGCTTTGGGTGGATCTCTGCCCTGAGAAAACATCACCAGCGCATCCGCACTGGGGAGAAACCCTACAAGTGTCCTGAGTGTGGGAAGAGGTTTCAGATCAGCTCTGATCTCCTTGTACATGAACGGATTCACACAGAGGAGAGGCCCTTCTGCTGCCCCGACTGCGGGAAGGGCTTCCATGTAAACTCCCGCCTCACAACCCACCGGCGCATCCACACTGGGGAGAGGCCCTACAAGTGTGGGGAGTGTGGGGAGAGCTTCTCACAGAGCTCAACCTTGACCAAACACCAACGGAGGCACCACTAAGGGAAGCCCTGTGAGTGCCCTGAGTACTGGAAGAGCTTCATGTGCTACTCCAGCTCCATCCCCCATGGGAGGGGAGGATCGGCATTGGATGATCCCCAGTGACCCCCGTTGGGCAGATCCCTGATGACCCCTTACTGGAAATTGAAGAGAGAGTAAAACAGTGGAGCTGATCGAGAAACTGTGGGAGACACAGACACACATAAAGTCTCCTTTGGCAAGAGGTGACCAAGAAACATGTTGTGAGACTGTGTGATAAGATAATGTTACCAGGTGATGTGATGTCATGAACAATATGCAACCAATGGGAAATTGTTACCAAAAGTAGAGCCCTATATAAGCACCATATGAAGTAAAACCCTCTGTACAGGCCTGGTATACTCAATAAAATTGGCTTCTGATGTAAACTCGGATGTCCCCATCTCTCCATCTGCTGATAATTGGTACTCTGTGTGAGGAGCAAGAACCAGCCTATCTGTGCTGCTGTCGGCAAGCCCTCCACAACTGGAAGTGCTGGTGCAAGAACCAGGAGTGGGCCCCAAATAGAAGGAGGTGAGCCAAGGGGAACATGGGACAAAGCACATTTAACAAAGAGAGAGGCGCTTTTGAACTCGTGCTTGCTTTGCTTGGGAAACATGGCAAATCCTTGCCAAAGCTGGTCTTGAAACTTATTCTTAAATGGGTGGCTATTAAGCGTCCCAATGTCACTGCCTCCTCTATTTTTACAGCTGCTGTTTGGGATGACGTGGGGGTTGAGCTCTGTGATTTAGCTCGTGCAGGACACGAACCGGCAATTCGTATGCTCCCGTCCTGGAGAAAAATTTTTGAGACATTAAGAAAGCAAGAGCAGCCTCAGGCTGTATCCTCAGTGGATACCGCTGGCCTCCACCCTGCTCTGACTCTTCCTGCCCACTTGAAACTGGTGCTTCTAAAACTGAAGAGCAGCCACAGCCATCTGCCCAGACAAAGGAGAGGAAGGCATCCTGTCCCTCGGTCGTTAGCAGCCTATATTGCTGACCATGGCTCTAGTAGAGAGGAGGAGGGGGACACCTTCAATCCAGGACCAATAGATGCAGATGCTGAGCCTGGCCTATTCCCTCCTGACCCTCATGAAAACTGGGTGTGATTAAAGAAAAAGGGTCTTAAGGAGGCGGATTTTGATGTCACAGTGAAAATAGTCGTGCCAGTCAGACTTCACAGTGCCAGGGGAAACAACCTGCAGTGGGAACCCCTCGCTTATTGGAAATTAAGGAGCTACCCTGTATGGCTATGGAACACAGGCCAGGGTCTCCCTATTTTGCTAATCTTTTACAGTCTACATTATCAACTCATCTTATGACTCCTCATGATTTAAAGGGATTGGTGAGCCTATTATTAACCCCAACTCAGTATGCCATTTTTGATGTTTGTTGCAAGCCACTAGCCTGTTGGTGGTGGAGCAAGAGGCAGCAATGTCGCAACCTTCCAGAAGCGTCTCCAGTAATGGAGCCACTTGGTGGCACAGGCACACACACACAATCACTCCAGCACACACTTCCGGTAGCTCTTGTAGAATTACCCACAACAAAGAAGTGGGAAGGGTCTTTGCATGGAGTTCCAAGTAGGTTTGTTGCAACCACACATGAAGGGGTCCAGCGACATTGACAAAAGCACATTGGAGGGTCCAGATTTAAATATAGGGGACAAGGAGGCAGAGCAGAGCATCAGGGCCCTGGGCTGAGGGCTCAGGGTGGTACAGAGGGGGGACAAAGGGTGGCAGCCAGTAAGGTAAAGGCAGCAGGACACTGCAGGAATATGGGACCAATGCATAAGCAGGGAAGGGAGAACATTCTAAGGCATATACATATGAGGAAAAATTAGTGGGGAGGCCAACGGGACAACCAAGGAAGTTTAAGTGGGGTACATTTGCATATACAACAAAGCATCCTGTGAGAGGCTCTGCTCAGTCACCCTGAACAGGGAGATTTCTCCAGCTTAGGGAGGATTATAATGGATCTTTGTTCTGTAGGCCTATCGGACTCCACAATTCCCCCTTCTTTATTTAATAAAAAGGCATCTCCCAAGGATGGTTTGAAAATTAAACATTTAAAACAGCTTAATAAACATAAAACAATCAAAAGCACCCATAATAAATTATTTAAAATGGATGCAAGCCATCCTTTGAGGCCCCAGTTTCCAAAGAGGTCCTGGTACGGGTCTGGGGCCATTTGGGCTTTAAGTTCTTTTGCTTGGTCCTGGATCTTCCAGATTTTGGCATGGATGCCCTTGCTGTAGGAGGATAGGTTGAGGCTGCACAGCCTGTTGAATTTTTCTTTGGGCTGTGTCACCATCCATGTCTCGATGGTTGGTGGTGATGGGGGCATCCAGAAGACCAGGATGACTGAGGCCATGTAGGCAGTGGCTCTCATTATGGTGGATGGTGTCAGGGTAGGTGCTTTCTGTAAGGTTTAAACGAGTTATTTTAACAATTGTCACATTTCGGGTGGGCGAGGCTGGTGCCTTCCCTTCTCTTCCTCTATCCCTCTTTATTAAATAAGAGAATCAGGAAAGGGGAATAGTAATAAGGTAAAATAAAATGCGTGGGGAAAATTAAAATAGAGAAGGGGGGGATGGTAATTGTTGTAACTGGGAACAGGAGGGTATGTGGGAGGATGTTAGTAGGATATTAGTGAGTGGGGTATGGGGGGATGTTAGTAGAATGTTAGTAAGGGGAGGGATGTGACTTATTTATTCTGTGGTTGTGGGTGACGTGTCCATGTCCATCTCTGGTCCTGCTTCTTGTGGTGGGACAGGCGGGTAGATTTTGTCTGGAGGATTTGCACTGTCTCTGTCTCCATGCAGAGCTGGTCTCATCTTTTGGGTCTTCTATGTTGGTCTCAGGAGTGTTTGCCACTGGTGTATTTGTTTGTGCAAGAAGTGGTTTTAGAAATTTCCCTGGGAGCCACCTGGGTCCTGATGGTGTTGAGATATAGGCATATCCTCTTCCCCAAGTTATTAAAGGGAAAGGGCCAGAAATGTGTTGGGTGTCTGGGTCCTTGATCAGCACTGGCGGTTTTTCAACTAGTTTCACTTGGCATGAGTTGGAAAAGGAGAGGACAGGGCGGAATTTGCTCTGTGAACAAGCTGTTAAAAAATTTTATTGTATAAAGATCCTTACAGAGCCTCTCAGTTGGAGAGGTTGTCTCTGTCCCTCCCCGTAGCTGATCGAGAACCCGTTTAAGGGTGGAATGGGCTCTTGGCCTCTTTCAATGATGGCTTGGCTGGTGGGAGAATGAGGTGTGTCTGTATTGTGCTTTACCCTCCACTGATTGAAGCTCCATTCCTTTGAGCTTGTGGGAGGTATGAACCAGACCATTGTCTGTTTTAATCTCTTCAGGGACTCTCAAGGTGGCAAACGCAAGCAGAGAGTGCCTGATGGTCTCTTTGGCACTTTCTCCTGCATGGGCCAAGACAAATACTGCCCCTGAGAATGTGTCAATTGACTCGTGTTAAGTATTTGGATCATCCAAAGGCAGGGTAATGTGTAACATCAGTTTGCCACAACTGGCAGCTGTTCAGGCCTCGGGAGTTAACCCCTAAGGTGAAAGATGGAATTTGATAAACTTTGTAATTTGGGCAGGTGGACACCATTGCCCTGGCTTGATCCCAAGGTAGTCTGAACATTCGCATTAACACAGGAACATTTTGATGAAAGAAATCATGGCTTAGTTTGGCCTGTGAAAAAATATCTGGCATGTTGGCATGGTGCACAGGCATGGCCAGGGCATCTGCTTTACAGTTCCTTCCACGATGGGTCCTGGGAGGTCTGTGTGTGACCTCACATGCCTAATGTGAAACAGTTGCTTTTGGTCAGAGAGAAGGTATATTCATTCTGAAAGCAATTTGTACAAATTTGGGTTTATTACCTCCCTTAATAGTGAATATTCTGCCCTCATAGCTACTCCAGCAACATAGGCCAAATCAGTGACTAAATTAACAGGTTCTTGGAACCTCTCTGACACGGTGCCGGAGTCTCACGGCTAGCTCGATCACCCCACAGCACCATGCCGAGAGTGGAACACACCCCAGAAGCAGGGTGATCTGGGGTGCAGCTTAGAGCAAAAGCTCCATGGCACTTGGATGAAACAGATGCAGAGTGTGGAGGCAAGGATGAGGAGAAAGCTCTCAGTCTGGGTTCCAGGGAGAGGTTTATTTGAGGGAAAATCCAAGGATGAAGAGCCGCGATAAAGGGTTTGCAGGGACCTTTAAGTGGGGGAGGTTCAAGGGGAGGGTACAAAACTTCAACCAATTAGGGATATCCTGGGGAGGAGCAAAAGGCTGGGGTTTTACAGTGTATCAACCAATGAGGGGGATGAGGGGAGGAGAATGAGTCACATAGTCCAATGGGGTGTCAAGGATTAGGGGATTTCCAAAGGGGAGATCCAAAATGGGAGTGGTACAAAGAGACATTGGCAGGGAACTTGCTGGAACAAGGGGCTGGTATTAAGGGGGATTGACAAGCATGGGCTGGGCCGAGGGAGGATTGACACAGAACATTTGAGAGCAATGGGCAGGATTAGATGAGACAGACGACCTAGGGGGAGGTTACAATTTCAGGGACAAGCCATTAACTCTGGGGAATAAGGGGGATACAGACGAGTCCATGAAACCTAAAAATGCACCACAGCACCTCTCAAATGCTCGGACAATGGCAGGGAGTTGAGGAATTTGAGGGGATCCCTCAAAAATTTGGACGTTAGACTCTCACTTCTGTTTTAGAGGATCCCTCCCAGTCATCACTGACTTGTGGGTTGCTCCTGAGCCATCTGTGAAAATTGTCAATGCCTTTAGAGGTTTTCTGTTTTGGACTAGTGTTGAGACCAAAATAAAAACTGAATTGAACAGCTTATGACTTGGTGGGTGGATGGAAATTTGGCCTGGATAGCTGTCCAGGGTGAGTTGAAGGTGTTCATTTGTCTGGAGCAAGCAAATTGTCCAGATCTCCTGTTGTCAATGGCATATTG